GCCATGCCCCCCCACCTCTGCTGCTGCCCAGCCCCAAACAACAGCTGGCAGAGAAGGGGAGGAAGTGGGGAGGAAGGGAAGGAGGAGAGGAGAGGCTGGGGGCATGGGGGATGTTGCCTGCCACCGAGTGTTGGCGGCTGCAGCTGCATGCAAGCTCCTCTCCCCGCACCTGCTCCTAGGAGCTGGCGTTAGCGTGTGGTGGAACAGCAGGGGTGCACGGGGCCAGATGCGGGGGGTGGAAGGGACATAGGGGGTGGGGGGGTGCATGGGGCCGGAGGCAGAGCGGCAGTACCGTGGGTCACTGGGTAGCAGGGCTCCGTCTCCACCCGCCTCTCGTCATTCATGACAGGCAATTTGCTACTTTTATCAATAACTTTTGGCTATCAGTAAGACAAGATGGCTAAGGGTGGAGAAACAGAGGTGCAGGATATATTGAAGGGGTGATGTGGATGGGAACAGATTTTAGGAAAAGGGAAAAATGGTGGGGGGAGGGAAAGGAATGACAGCTCCCCAGACCGGGTAAGAACAGGAATGTAGCTGAGGGTTTTGAGGGAGAAAAAGAAAATCAAGGAGGAAACGGCAGCCAGGGGATAAACCATGTCCTAGAAGTGACAAACCCTTTGTGGTAAAGCCTGAAGCTGACAGAGAATGACCAGAGGAAGTTCATGGTCAATGGCAGCAGCAGCAGCCTGGGAAAGTGCTAGAAAAAGAGGGCAGTCTAGGGAAGCATATAGCCATGAGTAAGCTGATAACAGAAAGCTGCCAGGAAGGTACAGCAAGCAAAGTAACTGGGAATCAAAGAGAAAAGGAGGGACTCTGTACCCTCCCATCAGGGTGGATAAAAAAAAAATATATATCAGATTCTCTTTGTTTTTATTAAAATCAGATTTTTATTTACTTTTAAAATTTCTTTTATTAAGGTGTTTAAAAAAAAATAAACTTTAATTTTACGATATGTTAAAATTCAAAGATATCATCATGGAATAGGGATTATAATTTCTAATGATATACTATTTGAGACGATATATTTATGTAACCTTTTTAGAAGTTTTATAAATAGATCACAACAGGCCATGGGCTATATTAGGGGCCCAATCTTATGGGGTTCCCAGAGGCTCTTCCATAGATTAGTAAAGATTAAAGAAAACCACTCTACCCAATGGGACTCAGTGCTCAGTTGACAAGATCCCATTAAGCATCTCTGTGATGTTTAGTTTCAGCTCTCAAACTGTGGATTTGGGTCTCCAGAGATCATAGTTATTTGGGTAGATGTGATATCTTTTATTAGATCAACTAAATAAATGGAAAACTGTTCTTTGCAAGCTTTTGGGCATAAACGCCCTTCTTCAGGCATAAGGAGAGGTTTTTTGTCTCCAGAGATAACTTCCTTGTTAACAGCAGTATGTGGAGATGAGAGATAACAGACCTGATTACCCTACTGTCTCTCTGCAAGTCTGTATACACACAGGCACACCCTTACCTTTCTCTAAAAGTGCAGTTTTAAGAAGTTAGATAAATAAAGGATATCAAGCAACAAGAATGCACTTTTTGTAGAAAACAATGATTACATTGAGGCTTCCTAACATTTAAATAATGATTCAAATTAATTTGATTTAAAACAAATCCACCCTGCCTCCCATCAAAAGAAAATAGCAAAAATCCCTTCCCCTCACTATTCTCCTCCCCCAACACAACTGCCTTATATTATGAGAAGAAAAAGAAAGAGGGGAAGTGGGAACAAAGGGGGGAGAGCTCTGCTTCAGGCAAATCTGGTTTCAACACAGCTTAATGAACAAGTGTTCTTCGAGATCAAGAGGCTCAGCTCATCTCCCCTCATAATGTTGCATAGCAAGGAAAAATGCAGAGAAAGTCTGGACCTAACTCAGACTGTTTCCATCTTCACAGACCTTCAGACACTATGACATCTACTGCCTGTCAGAACTGTCCCCGCAACTTTACCCCAATATTAAAAAAGAGGTTCTGATACTACCTGACAGACCCTCAACAAGGTCTGAATTAGCAGCGAGTTCTGGGGAACTCCTAGTTTAAATGCAGCATGCAGGCTGTACACCAAGTCCTCTCTCCAAGCGTTCACAGTATGCTCCAACAGATACTGACATGCCGGAGCAAAGGCAGGATGCTCAAATATCAGCTGTTTTTCAGAAGTCTGGCTATATGCAGGCATCTTTTTGATGAGTCTCCACATTGCAGTGAAACTGTAAGCAATAAACTTCCAGGAATGATCAAACTTTGTAAGTAGGTCTAATACATCACAGGGAGTCTTGCACGTCTCAAGAGCATCAAAGAACAGTTGGGCCTGACTTTTATCCTCCATTTGCAAATTCCTTTCATCACCTGCAATCTCTTTTATACCATCCAAAGCATTCGTAGAGCTTTCCTTATGTACCTCAGTCTTTCTAGCTCTCTCTTCATTGACACTGGCAACTTCTGTACTAAAGTCACGTGTCTCTTGAGGTGGAAACTGGAGATGAGATTCAAGCCAGGAAGGAGGAATATTTACCAGGACTTTCTTTAGGTTCGTACTTTGTATGGCACTCTTACGTTTATTGGTCCCCAACATATATGTCGTCGTAGGTCTAAATCTGAAACCACCACAGTATCTCACTGTCCTTATCAAATAAACAACTTTATTATTCATCCTGTTAGTTTCTTGTTAGCAGTTTTCAAACGCCAGCTTAGAACATAGGGGTCTTGATGAAATTATAGCAGTAAACACAGACCTGAATAACACAGTAAGAGAATTTGCTGCAAAATCAATTCAACATTACAGATTAATTAGAAAGCTTTCAGTTCAAAGATAAAAGTACCATATCCTGAAACACCTTTGTAATAGAGCGCTGAGAAATGGGGAGGAAAGGGATAGAAATAAATTTGCATCAGGGACTTGAAACTAGACTTGCCACATCGCCATTGAGACCCTTAATCATGAAATCACTGACTGTTATAGAGCAGCATCTCTTTCTGGTTTTGACCAAAAATGCCATCCTGGAACCAGGAACCCCTTCCCAAAGGAATTTACAGGTTCCCGTGAGAAGTGCTCAGCAATCTCTTCCAAAAATAAGAAATAATCCAGGCCTCCTTTACAGAGCAGGCACAGACCCTGCCCTCACCACTCCATTATCACTGGTTATCTATAGTTTATTACTACTGTTGTTGATAACGTAATCAACGCCCCCCCCCCTTTAATACATGCACCCCAATGGGAGGGACAACTATTGGTAAAAGGGAGTGTGATTTTGTGAGACAGCACAGAGCCCCCTTCCCTGCTCTGTGTCAGTACTACAAAATAAAAACCTGCTGGGAAAAACAGGCCCAGCCTCCCCATCCCTTAGCAGTGCTAGCGCCCTGGAGCCAGCTCGCGCACAGCCAGGTCTCGGGGCAGCACGGAGAGGCTGGAGGGCGTCTAGCGGCGCAGCCGGGAAACCTGGGGCGACCACAGTTCTCCCGGGATCTAAGCGACAGGGGTCTCGGAACAGCACGCGGGGGCGGCGCTGGGGCGAGGCCACGTGCACCCTCCAACCGTCACCCGCAGCGGGGCCGCCGGCAGCGACCGGAGGGAGAGAGGAACCAGGGCCGCGCTACGGATCTACTTCGCCTGCCTTCCACGGAGAAGTCGCCATGCGCTTCCTCATCACATACCCGCAACGCGTCTCGCGAGAGGACGGCGCGGAGTAGGGGACAATCTTCACTCGCCGGCTTTCGCTTTGCGGCGCGTTGCTAAGCAATCCCTGGGACGCCGCGGCGGGGCCATGGCCCAGTTCGTGCTGGCCGGTGAGGGGCGCGGGCCCGGGGTCCGAGGCCGGTCGGGAGCGAGGGGCAGGGGCTACCGGCTCATTAGCACGTGGGCTTCACCCACCGTATTTTCTCGTGTACATCACGCCCCAGAATATAATGTAGTCCGGAGGTGGGGGGCGCTCTAAGGGCACGCCCGCACATTCGGTTAATGCGCTTTAGGCAACACATATGAAATCTGGCGCCTCCACTGTGAGACACTAGAACAACGTGCAGGCGCCTATTCTAACGCTCATTAGCTAAAGAGCACTTTTTTTGGTGATGCTGTAATGTGCATTAAAATAGGTGTAAACGTGCCCTAGAGGACTAGAGAATTAACAACTTACGTGCTTTTAGATCCACCCCTGAATACATCCCCTGCTTTTTGATGGGCAGAATGAAGGGGGAAAAAAGATGTTTTTTAGAGTTAGGGCTGCACAGAGCAGGGACAGAGCCTAATGTTCAGCTGCCTGATCCTCCTTTTCCTGCATAAGTAAAGCTGCATCCCTGCCCGGTCTTCTGTGACAGATTGTGCCACAGAAACAGGGAGCAGATGCATCTGCTCACGTAGGAATACCACATTTCAACATTAACAAAATGCTCAAAATATCCCATTCAAAAGTTATATATTTCTTTTTTTTAAACCCCCACATTTAATGCCTTATTTTTTTTGTCAAATTTTCACTGAAAGGCTTTGGGGCACCTGTCAATAAATACTCACAAGAGCAGAGTCTGTGACTTGCCCCTAAAAACTACCTTGACACACATCACACCTGCTTTACAGTTCTCAGCTAGCAAAACATCTAACTCACACCAGTCAGCCAATACCATCAAATCCATAGCACTACTGTATCCTTCAGCTCATTAATAAGCTAAGGCAGATGATGCTGCATCATATGATGATGAAACCAAAAGGTTCACAGTTGTAAACAACTTGTTAAGAGGTAATATTGAAACACAAACAAATATTAGAGGCAAGTTCACAGCAATATGCAAGATGCGTGAATCTTGCATCTAGCTCACAGTCCTTCTGAAGCGCGGGTGGGGAGGAAAAGAGGGCTGCAGATTGAGGAAAAGCACGCAGATAAGGAATACCATATTCTACCTTCTGAGTGTTGCCCTAGGATTCCTTTTACCAGAGACCCCCAAGGTTTGACATAGCCACTCATCTGATTTGGTATCAAGTGAACTTTATTAGTAGCCCATAGGCTTATTACAAGATAATTATTCTCGCAATATGACCTGGCAAGCGGTTCCTTAGATGTTACATCAGCGACCTTCGGTGGTACCAGCCTCAGATTCTCTGCTGGGTGTGTGGGATGTTAGTTTTTGTATTCCTTGTTACTCAAAGAAAGAATCCCAAGGCGACTCCTGTCTCCCCAGGGTGGCAACACAAACACACGCTGTCTGTTTGTCCACTACTTTTGTAAGTTTCTCATCTCAGACTGTTCAATCTTCAAGTTTCTTAGCTCATATTTGTAGATAAGTTACTCCAATCCTATTCTGTTTATGGTTTTCTTTCCTTTTAGGGAAACTGCTGTACCCTGGTTAGCCCACCATACCAATCACAGCACTCATTTTTCCCAGTGTCTTATAAGGCACTCTGTACAATTAAATTGCTTAGTTTTGGGAAGGCCTAAAGTTATGCTAAGAGCCTGAGAATAACTCACTTTGCCCACTACACTCCCAGCCCTGATGCCCCGGAATATGCTGGCATCACACAGACATTGGTTGACCTCTCACATGCGACTCAGGGCATGTGGTTGCTACTAGGGCTGTGCAAAACAGAAGCGTTTCATTTCGACCAGCGTTTTGACGTTTCGACAGAACAGTGTTTCATTTTGATTTTTGTTTCAGGTCAAAACGGCTGTTCCAGTTCATTTCATCGAAATGTTTTGCCATTTCGAGCCTGTTTTGACATTTCGCCCATAGGATATAATGGGGAAGGTTAAAACAGGCTATAACTTTGTCATTTCTAGCCAGAATTGGATGAAACTTGCAGGAGTGGTAGCCTCTTCTGAGGGTATGAGGCATGCCAAGTTTCAAGAAGATACGTGCAGGGGGATCAAAGAAACTGCACCCCAAAATCTTGAGAGAAAAACTCATGTCACTTGTATGTGTGAAGCCACAGTGGGGTCAAAACTGCAGGCTTGCTAGCCCCCGCTGTGGCCACAAAGCCTGCCAGCTCTCAACGAAGTAGGTGCTGTGGGGCTCAGGGTTCTGGGGCCCTGCACCTCTGGCTGTCGACAGGCAAAACTCGTGACATGGGTGCTTGTGACATTGTCTGGCTTGGGATGCGGGGGAACCACTGCAGGCCTGGCTGCTAGGCCCTGCTGTGGCCACAAAGCCTGCCAGCTCTCAACAAGATAGGTGCAGCGGGGCTCAGGGTTCTGGGCCTTGCACCTCTGGCTGTCAACAGGCAAAACTCGTGACATGGGTGCTTGTGACACCGTGTCTGTGTTTAGGTGCGCCCTTCCCGGTGCTCAGGCCTCTGCACAACATGGCAGTGTGCCCCAGTGAGGCCTCTTCCTCACCTACAACCTCATCCCAGTCCACCACTGTAAACAATGGCAGGTGAAAATAATGTAGCTGGCTCAACAGCAATAGCACCAGCAGCACCAGCGGCATCTAAGGTAGCCAAATGGAACTGTCACAGAGCCTTTCTTGTTATAAAGGAATTGGCAGCAAGAAGTAAAGATTTTGTGTTGGATATATGTTACTTGTGGTGTCTGTGATAGCTTATCTTGTGTTTTTATGTCTGTATGTTTCTTATGAACAAAACAGAATAGTTAGAGAAATATCTCTTAGGAAGCTTTCAGGTTGAAAAACCCTTTGTCAGGCTGAGGAAGTGCCTGCAGTTAGTGTGTCTTCTGGTCCTGGATGGAAGGAATAGTAAAGAAGCCAGAGGCTGGCCTGGCACACAATGCAGGCAAGAAATCCAGTCAGTGAAAATGGGGGTCAGGGACAGGCTGGGGTGGGTGGGGGGTC